CGCGTAAGAGCTCGCCCGCCACGATGTTTCCTTTTCGTCGGTCGTTCTCCTCGCGTCGGGCGAGGCTCGTTTTTACCGTCGTATGGAATAAACAAACGTAAAAAAAAAAGTACATTGAATTAGGTGGTAACTCTTAGGAACTTAGGCTCGACGATCCGGCACTTTTCGACGCGGAGGACCGATTAGCCTCTTCGGTCGCGAGGATATATTTTTTTTAACGTATCGATGGCATGGATTTACTCGCAGAACTCGCTGTTGAGAAACTCGCGTTCGTCGATTGACGAGCCACCCGGTATAATCTCTCTTATCCCCCGGTTCGGCAGATATAAAATAAAAAAGAATACAACCCTTTTCGGATCTCACTGAACATTTCCCGAAACACCGACCGACGATCTGTTTCGATAGGGCCCGCGGTCGTATCGACGACGAATTCACGAAAAGTGCGAGTGCTCGATCGTTGATCAAAATCTTGATCGTCTATTTAATATTCTGCGTGCCCCTTGTTCTTGGTGTCTTGTAATTTGTAAATATGCTCGTAGCGATCTAGCCTGGCGGAGTCCCCCCCCCCCCCCCGCGCGTTCCACGCGACAACAGCCACGAAATTCCTCTGTGATAATATTTTCCATTGAAAGAATTCAGACTTGGAACTTTGAACAAAAAACGAACCACGAAATCTGACGCTCAACCACGCGAATGGGTAACAAAAGATTAACGATCAACTGGTGCATCAAGGAGGGGCTTGAACGGTGGGCGTGGCCAGACCGGTACGGTGGGGATAGCCCCGCCCAATGGCCTCGAGCGACCAGTTGGTTCCAACGCGAACAGTATCAGAGAAAACGGCACAGGGACTCCGACAAGCCCGGTTCGGAACCACCGTTTCCGAGAACCGTGCTTAAAAAGGCGGAATCTTTACCTCTTCGTGGACTCGTGCGTTTAATTAACCGATCAACGCCGACGATTAGCGCGGCGTCTGTACATAAAGCGAACTTTTCGTCTGGCGATACATGTACGTAAAGCGATAATCGTGTGGGCTCTTTTAGAACTTTACATATTATACGTATAAACATATTCTACGAACACGGTACGGTGTGAAACGAGTATCGTTTCTATTAGTGGACGTACGTAAATTTCGTAGACGTACGGTCGTCGAGATCGTCCGTACGTGCTCGAACCACTCTAAATTCACGGCCAAAATAACGTTTAGGGATGCTCGTATGCCTTCTACGCACGAACACACACACACACACACACACACGCATATAAGTAACCGTACGTTACGCACGCGGTGTGAAGATAATGGGAATTCGCGGTCACGGACGTAAATTCTTTATGAAATTCTCACGGAAGACATTCCTGATATATTCGTGTCCTTTTGTAGCCGGAGATCGACGATCGGATCAACGAAACCCCACCCCGTGCGTGACGCGTTAATGTTTCTCTTCCTCTTCCTAGCAACTTCGACTTTGTAACCGATCGCGCGTGGAGATCGTTCCACGATCCACAGAGGATGCCTGTCGCGAGATCGCCGCTGCTTCCGGTTGTGTGTATTTATTAAACCACCGAGACGTGGCAGAAGGGTGGATCCGTGTAATATACTAACGTGTCGCGACCATAGGTGGCGAGAGTTAATACTTGTAGATGAAATAGGGAAACGAAGTAGAGAGGCTGATCTCCGCCGTGTAATTTTTATAAATAACTTAAATGATTAATTGTAAACAGTACAAGTTCGTCGTAACACAGCGTTATTATTAAAAAAAAAAAAAAAAATGGTAGTGGACAGCGATACGTGAACGCTCCTTTGTAATATAAATAAGAGTGGGCCACCGACGAGAAGTAACCCGAACGGCAACGACGATCTAGCGGCCGGGCTTCGATCCGAACGGAAGACAAAGAAGCGCGATATTTTTAAAAATTTTTCTCCGTGAATATTTTACACGAGGTTTCCACGTACGGGATTAACGCTCGAACCGATGGAACAAACGAACCGGGAGGATCGATTCCACGCGCGTCGTCGACAAACCTCCGAGAGTTGCATCTTTTTATTTCGATACGGTTCTAGAAAACACGTGATAAGATATTGCAGGAGGCGGTGTACTCGATGTAAATAGGAGAGCTGTAAAGGGGACAAGATGAAGAAAAAAAAAAAAAATTATTACGTGTCGATGCCTATATCTGTTTAATCTACGTAACGAGAAGGAAGCAATTATTGCTGATCACTATTAACTAATAACTAAACGCAGTTTATTCTATCTGTGTGTGTCGGTTTCGATTGGACATAGATTTTGTATCACCCTTTTTCTCTGTGTATGGTGTGTAGCCGGGGGCTCGATTTCGGGAGGCAATGGAACGAACGAAACATTCAAAAATTTTCATCGTTAACTCTTTGCTTCAGACTCGACCGTAGAATCAGTTCTTTGAGAGTCTCTCGATGCTGTATCAAGTTTTACGGTTTTTCAGCCGTATTTTCGAGACCAATCGAATATATTTCAATCATAGAAATCTACAAAAATGATTTATTAAGATAGTCACGTAGGATGGACGTTAACGCGAATTTTATTTATTAATTTTGTTCGCTACGCGTACATTTTTTAAAGTAGATTTTAAAATATAAATCTCGTTCTCCCGTTCCCATCGAAATCGATCCCTTAATATGTAGATTCAATCGTGTCTTTCACAACTAAGTACGTAGTCCTTGTAAATCGATTTGCGATAGACGGAATTCGCGTTTTCTCGAAACTTAGCCACGTAACTTTTAACGTACAAGCACAGGAGCGATCGTGTTCCTTGCGAGAGAATGAGGAATTTAAAAAAACAGACTATTCGATGTACGCTTTCGATCAACGCGCGGATCTTGATCGCAGTCGATATTTAAAGATTATATCGTGCACATGTCGTAGATGTGTCTACGCACCGGGTGCTGGAGACCAGTTTTGAAACCAATTGGAAAATTACGCGGTAACGAAAAAATATATATACAAACACACACGCGCGCGCGTGTTTTCAATAAAGAGAGAATCAATTCTGTCTCAAGCTTAGATCGTGTCATCATGTTTTTGATACTTATCCGAGATGTCATTAAGCGCGTCACGAATTTACCACTCTCGAACACGCGATTGACCCTCGGTTGTCGTTCGTCTTGTTCCGGATTGGGGCCCATTTTGCACCGAAAATAGCAAACTAGTACAAAAAAAAAAATCGTAACATTTCGAAAGAATAATTCTGCAGTGAAACTTTCGCGATTGGTTTTGAATTTATCCCAGGAATATGTCGACAACCGAGAGTCAACGACAGTCGAAAGATCGTTTTGGTAATCGTGGTAATCGAGAACGAGTAGAACATTGAAACGCGGACGAAATTGGTCTTAAGCCCTTTACATTCTCTGGTACTAGCTGTATAAAAATAAAAAAAAAAAAACACTTCGTGGATTTATAATTAAGACCGCGTCGACGATCTACGGCGAGGAATCGCGCGGGAGGGGGGAGGGAACACGTTCGTCCCGGCCACGCGGATTCCTCGTCGCGGGCCAAACGATCGACGCTTCATCGATATAATGCACACTTGTCGTCGTAGAGTCGAACTTCACGGAAAATCGTAGTCGATTCCAGCCTAATCTCAAGCGGCGCGATGATCGTGCCACCCGACAACCTTATTCTCGAATAATAATCAAATCGAACTTCGAATCAAAAAAAAAAAAAAAACAAAGATACTAGCACGAAAAAACACGGGTGAGAGAAACGAGTATTAAAATACATACGCGCATGTATGCTTTAAACATAACAAAAAGAAAAAAATGAAAAAAAAGTATATAAAACGAATAACGAGACAAAAGTAAGGCATGACGATTAAACTTTCCCGACGAGGATCGGTCTCGATCGCTGATTTTGCAACGGTTCTTCGCGATAAAAGAAAATAAAAATTGAAAAAAAAAACAGGAATCGGTTATGTAAATTAAGTTTGTAAGATTCTCCGACCGTAGCCACGTAAGAAACGATCGCTGGCAACGAAGAGTACGCGGGGTCCAGAGATCTATGGGGGAACTCCTTCTTCCTGGTTTCGTTCGTCGATCACCGAAATTTCATTCCCGAGACTCGTCGTTTCTTCGTTGCACGCGGCTCGAAACGATTCCGGTTTTGTACGCGTGACGATTTGGCGATCATTTTTGCATCGTGTCCGGAAAGTTTAATCGGCCCGGGCTTCGGTCGACGGACAGAGCGTGCGCGAATGGGCGACGAGAGAAGCGAACGACGAAATAATAAGGACAAAACCAGAACATTGAAGACTGGCAATCAAAACTAACGTAGGCAGATTATAAACGCAGATTTATTCCGACGTCTAGGACGATCGTGCGCGCCGGTTAGAACAGTATTTTCGAAACGAGGGGGAGTTTGTTTAAAAAGAAAACTATCGAGGAATAAAAAGGGAAATTAAATATCAAGGCGATCGAGGTCGGGAGTCGACGGAATTTTGTAGGATTTTAAAGGTCGAGTGGGTCCCTGGCGACGATCGTGCTAGACAGGCATAACATCGACGGCGAAACTAACGCAATTCTACGCAACTCTCCTTCGAAAGAAATAGATCGTACAGTTTTGCGAGTAAAATGCACGTCTAATGTAACGCTAGTGAGTAGATAGGTAGGTACCTGCATTTTATGAAATTTAACATGCTTGAATAGCTCCTCAATAAATCGTTATACATGTTTTGATAAACCTGTGTTTGTTTATTGACCCTGACACGAACTCGATGGACCTCGTGAACGAATATCCTCCGGGCTTAAATAACGAACGATCGTTGTCGATCCCTGCGTTTCTAACGTTTCGTAAAGAAAAAAAAAAAATAATAAAGCACGAGCGTGGGTCGATCGAGGCTCCACCGTGATTCCTCAAACCCGAATGGATTAAGGGCATTGCTTCGTCGGAAGATTGTCGATCCTTCGATCGTCGAAAATCTGTGTTATTTTTCCAGGCACGTGCAAAATACTCTGGTGATTTTCTGTTTCGTAGAGCCACGTTTCAGAGCCAGGAAAACCACGCGATCGACGATGGAACGCTAGTCTCGGGTTCGAGGGGGGTTGAGGAGCAATCGGGCAGCACGTCTCCGATTGGCAGCCGGGACATTGACGATAAATGGCAGCCGCCGCGCGGAGAAATTGCAGCCGGGGCGATTCTAATCAGCCTGTCGGACGCCATAAGTTACGCTGTTAAGGAGTCACAGATAACGCCCGAGAAAATAATCAGGCCTAATGAAACTGTTTGCAATGCTGATTAATGATAAAGGGAAGCGAGTCTTAGATTACACGTGGGCCGGCCTTTTCGTCCCTCTCCTTTCTCTCTTTGCAGCTAATGTTATTAATAAGGACACGGCAACGTGTTTCCTCTCGATTCCTATTACCGGACGATTTCACAACCGATCCTTCAGATTTATCGACGACGTCGTATCTTACGCGACTCCACCCCGATCTTTCATCGTCGTCGCCGCGAGGATCCACTGGTCACGAACTTCCGGTGAGTAAAGTAATACGTCCCAGGAATACGCTCGCGGCAATCTTTATCACGGTCTTTAGAATTCAAATTCATGGTTATTAATTGGATTAATTTATAGAGTACAAAGTTAATTTTCATATAGATTAGAGTTAATAGTAATCATATTTTCTTGCATCAGTCTGCACTTATGCATTTTCCTGTCGTCTGACGTAATTGTTATTATTATTATTATCTTATCTGCTCGTGCCTGTGCTACCTTGACGCTAAACTTTTTTGAGTTATTTTCCAGGAATGTTCTCAACCTCGGTTTTCAAACACTGCCTGACGGGATTCGAGCACCAAGGCCCTCCCCCCGGAACACACGAGAAATCGTTTAAGGGTGGACTCGTGTTCACTGCCAAGCGACAGTCCTTCGAAAATATCTTGGCTTTAGCTTCTTAAAACGTTTATTCTTAGTTACGAAAATATTTTCCGTTACTCTACGATCAACGAGTAGTGCATTATAATACTGTATCATTGTCTATGTGGAACGTATTATTCCAGACCAAGTGCCAACGATGAAAGTACGATCGGTCGTAGGGAAATGTTTTTATATTAATTTACTCGATTTTACTTTTCCGATATATGTATACTTGTAAAAAATTTTTTTAAATACTTCGTATAAATCTTGGAGAAAATCAAACACTAGATAGGAAAGTTAGATAAACGTTTTCTCTATCTACTCTGATAAAGGAGACATTAGAGTCTTGTATACTTAAGGCACATTAATAACGTACGCTATAAATGTTTGGATAATTATATTTATGAAGATATAATTTCGTTTAAATGATCATTATCTTCGGTAGAATAGCGAAGTGATTTGAAAGTACGGCGACGTATTTTATTAATTTTAAGGTGGCCTGAAATCGAGGGTCGATAATGTTAAGAAATAGTAATAAAAATCTTGTCTGTACCGAATGCTGATATTATCTGTACGCAGCTATTTTAATAGTTCCCTATTAACACAACTGATACTAATATTTTAAACATTGCACTTAAATAAGCTTTTCTATTTATTTTACGTATCAACTTGCGAGTCGTTGGATCGCCACACGATATTATACATATTTACTAAATAAGACAAAATAGAGAGCATGGGCAATAATAACATACACGTTAATTTATACGATATAGAATAGAGAAAAATGAAAAAAGTGAAATTAACTAAGATACTGTACAAATAAAGCAATAGGTGTGCGATAATATGTAAAATGTGAGTCGAGGAACATTACGATCGAACCCAAAACAATGTTCCCCTTTTTCATAAATTTATTCTCGGATTCTAAATCGCTAAGGACAGCTACATTACACTTCATTCTGTTGATTGATCGTTCCTCCGTTAGAATGTAAGATATCGTAGTGTGGCCCGAGAATAGATAGGACAATTTACAGTTAAGTGCTGGAGTAGCCATAACTGGGATATTCTTAATTTTATGTCGACGCGTTGATTCGATAATGATCTCAGAGCTACGGTTCCGGATAGTCCAACGAATCATTGTTTCTCGTTCGCGTTCGGTGCAAAGTATTCGTGAAATAATAAGAAACGAGCATAAGCAGGGATCCTGAAAATTCGTCGGTTTCCCAAAGTCTCGTCGTTTCGAAATCGCCGGGCAATTTTCCGCGAGTAATCGACGCTGCTCGCGTGCCTACGGCAACGATGACGTAAGCAATGTTTACAGGCGACTGGCGATAAGAAACGACGCGACGATCGCGAAAAACAAGGCCCTCGGAGCCTGCTTTCTTCAGTCTTCCGCCGGCTCTCTTTCGATTAGGTGCGCGGTGATTCTTAATCTCGCGCTTCCACGATCCTTGGGATATTAAACGCCGGACAGTTCACAGTGGAAAAACGATTCCGTACTTCTGGACGCGTGTTTGGACGAAAAATCGACGATCAGAGTTCCAGAAAAAGTGTCTTTCCCCAAACTACAGTATATTTTACGAGTACCAAGTGCTTCTTCGAGTCCTCTGTTTCTCGAACGTGGTGGACAGCATTTTTAAGAAACGATACTGATCGATCCGTGGCAAAAACTGTGTACCTTTGCTCGGTAAGTGGAGCTGAAGTGGAACGGTTTAACGATAAAGATGTGGAGCGTGCAGAGTCGCATTATCGCGGTGTGTTCGACGAGGTGTCGTTGAAAACGATGAGCATCGAAAGAAAGAAAAACTTGTCACTGCAGTCGGGAATGCTTCGGAGAAGTCGTCATCGGCTCGCGAATTCAAATGCACTCCGCCAAAGAGAAGTCGGAACGTGTGTGCACATTTATTATAACGCGGACGACCTCGAAGCCATCGATAAAATAGGAGCTTCAATATTAGTTAAAACGTAGGAAAAACTTGCAGAAGATTTGCTACAAGATTTGTCTAATTTCTATCAAATTTTCGGTTCCAAGATCAACACCCCAACTAGACATCATCGAATTTATATTAGACAACATATTTATTCTTGCGTATTTTACTGTTCAACTGATTGTGAGCAATTGAGTGCTAATATGTGAGAACAGCATATTGTAACCATTTGAAGCTGTAGATGCAAACATATTGCTAAAACATACCATGTAAACATTGTTTTCACAAGCTGGTGCAAAGCCTAGTCAATTCTTTTTTTCATTGCCAAACGAGAAGACAGGTAACTCGAACTGCGACAAAGATTCTAGAGGTAAAAATAAGACGAAAATCAAGAATATCAATTTGTTGATTGAGGCTTCGTTAAAAAATTAAATTAAAAAATTTCAAATCATTCTGGAAAAATTATTTCTGGTTGCAGGGGTCCATTGCAATCATTTTTGGTGAATAGACATATCCTCGAAATCTTACGCAGTTTCAAGAAAAAAATTCCTTACCGAAAATATTATGTCTGACCATGAATGAATGATTCCCCTGAAATTTCATGTGTTTCAAATCGTTCTGAAAAAATTATTGTCGTTTCCGGGGGTCAATTAGAATCATTTTTGGTGAATACACATACCCCCGAAATCCTACGTACTTTCGAGAAAAAAATTCTTTACCGAAAATATACTGTGTAGCTGGAAAAGTTTCTATAACTTTTTAACGAAGCCTCAATCAACAAATTAGTATCCTTGATTTTCGTCGTATTTTGGCCTCTAGAGGTAGCCAAACACACTGTATATTAGACCTGACTCGTAGATACAATTTTAATGTCGTCGAGATCGAAAGAGACGGACTTATGGGAATGTTTACAAACAGTCGAACCACCTCAACACACCTCGTTGCCAAGCTAGTCGTGGGAGAAGGATAGTGGAGATTTGGTTGTTCTATTTCGGGACAGTTTCGAAAATACGCTCGCAACTCGTGGCGGGTTTCAGCTGCGTTTTATCGTTTCATTGACAAAACGAGTTACCGCGCGACGAAAGCTGACGCAAGCGAGTGTTTACGATCAACACGTGCCGCGCGAGAATGAACTGCACCCGGCCTCTCTCAGTAACGTTTCGAGCGCTTCGCGATTCCGGTCGTCCTCGCGTTCTCCGCGGCTCTGGCCGCCGAACGGCGCCGAATCGCGATTTTTTGGACCAGTTTTCCAACGGTACACACAGTGAACGAAATCCACCAATCGTCCAAAGGGGTCAGCGCGTGTCCACGACGTCGAAAACGCGGTAGAAAAACGATTGGAACTCGTACGCGGTTTATCAGGCTACCTGTCGTCATTGCAGAATGTCTTCGATGCTATTCTCGCTGTATGAATCGATCCTGCGATTCGAACGTCGCGAGCGTGAGATTCAGCCATGGAAAACTTCGTTCGTAAGAAGAATTAAGTTTCTTTCCAATGTTGAAAGTACGATTATCAGTGAATCGATCGTGAGTTTTTAATCACGAGGGTCGAAGAAGAAGTGCAAAGTGTCGATTTTTAGAACGAGGAAAAAGTTCGTTTCTTTTTTTATCGCTGCACGAATCTGTGTTACAAGCGTGGCAGAAGAGCAAAGTCCCATTGCATTTTTACGATGATGCAACGCGACGTTATCTTCTTTAAATATGTAATTCTTTCGTTGCCTCCGGTGTATCCTTGATTCTCAAAGTCGCGTGTCATGCCTAGTCTGAATAATAAAGGAATAAAATATAATTTCTGATTAATATTCGAGGTCGAGAGAAATAGCAAACGTCCAACTTTGGAAAATTCATCGATCGTACACGCGACGATGAAAAACGACGTTCCCGTCCGTCGCGATAGACAGAGAAATACTTGTGATTTCTACATCGACACGGTTCCCTATTCTCGCTGCATGAATCAATTCTGTGTTCCAAATTTTGCGACAACGGGGTCGAATCGGTGACTTTTGCCATCCTCGTGAATAAAATTAGTAGCAAATTGCGGCAGAGACGAAGACTATTGTTATTTTTATAATCAAGGAACAATCGTCTCATGACCTTCCAATGAAATAACTCCTACGATCTTCTCGTTCTCGTCATGATTCTATTCAAATCTATGTGCAACAAATTACGCTGGAATATTTATAATCTGCTCGTGCACGTAGCCTCTCGATGACCAAACTCGCGCGAGGTGGATCTCGTTAGAGGATTAGCGGTCAATTATCGCGAAGGGGGACGATAATCAAAGGAATTTGCCGCTCGATGGCGAAAGAAACGGTCGATGAAATAGGAGGTGGGCCAGGTTGGAGCAGTCGCGTGCCGCCGCGAAGCTCGATTGCCGTTTTAATCGTTGTTTTGATGCGGCTCGATAAACTACGCGCGCTATCGCGGCGGGAGGCGGCGAAACGCTGACGACAATGATGTAACGGTGGAAAATAAAGCGGTGACTCGTATGGATATTGGTACCGTGTGCTGGCGCACGCGTAAACACGTGCTAGCCACCGTGCTGTCCGACCAGGAAATTTTCCTCGAATTTTCGGAGCCAGTTTTTCGAAAACTGCCGACCCAATCGCCTCCGCGCGCCGATTCCAATAATTCTCGAACGCGAGTTTGGATCTCCACGAAAAATCTCCAGGAAAATCTCTACGAACGTTCGATAGAACCGTTTTCCGGTCGGTTGCGAATTCGTTTTAGCTCCAGTGAGATTTTCCAGCCGTTTCCAAGGCTTTCCTATTATTCGAGCCCCGCGTATCAACGAGGGAAAAGGAGATCCGCTCCGTTTCGCGCGGCACGTCAGATTCTATTTTCAACTCGACGACCTCTTGACACTCATTAGCGTTTTCAAGTTCCCGCGTCGGGAGGTCGAAACCGGGGCCTTATCACGCGCGCGGTGGACGCTAACGATCGTTTCTTGCTCTCCGTGCGCGCCGATGACGTACGAAGTAACGCCGGTAAAGAGGAAACGAAAAAAGAAATAAAGGGGCTGAAACTGCACAGGCCACGATCAACGATTCGGAACGATTTCCAGCGGAATTCCTCGAGGATCGTCGCTCGCGGAGGAGAAATCATCGCGCGGGTGAACGAACTCCGACGCCATCGATCGAAGACTTCGGGACGTGATCCCCGGGATGTTGGACGACGAAACTTTATATTTCCACGCGATGCTGAGGGACGGTAATCCATATTATCGGGGCATTACTGTCAACTCGTCCGTTCCTCTCAGCTGCTAGGGCTTCTTCGGTTTCCTACGGTTATCTCCATCCCTTGTACACTTTCCGTCCCAGTTATCGAGTCGTTCATCCGTACACGCGATCGGAAAAATCGGTAACCAGCAACACCCCGGAGGAATACTTAGAAAACTCTGTCAGTGTCAAATCGTAGCGGAATATTTCTGAATTCTCAAAACTGTCGATTCCGTGCTCCATGTATCGCGAGGAAGTTTCAGGAGATACGAAATAATTAGAATAGATCCGTTTCCATAACACCGATCTTCGAGTGAAAATTCTTTCGAATGTGGGATTTCTTTTCTCTGAGCGAGATCGAATGATTTTGATCTCTTTTCGGTGGTTTTCGCGCGATCGGAGGTGACTGAACTCTCGGTGGACCGAGTGGCTTAAGTACCGCGATAATAAACGGCAACTTTCTCGGAGCAGGTTTCGGCGCGACGATGACGAACGGAAGAGTCGATCGCGCGGCGAAAATTCAGAAAGCCAGCGTCGGGGTGTTGCCAGCGCGCGGACGTGGTGCACGTGTTTGAGGACGCGATCGAGGACTTCCGGTAATCATGGGGAACGCATCGTCCTGCTGTCCGCATCGCAAGAAGGTAAGCCGCCTCTTACAATCGTAGAATCAAAGTACCAACGGGGCCAAATAGCGAATAAGAATTTTTTAATTCCTTGAAAATCAAAATAATTGCTACTCGAACCAGAGAATCATTCGTATCGATCAGAGCAATAGTGTGGATCACAATTTCTCTTCTGGAGATTAACCCCTTGACGTACGATTTAATAATTTCTCAAATATATATTATTTAATTTTATTTAAATTTGTTCGTAAAAAAATGTGTCGATTTTAATATGTAAGACTTAATGAGTGAGTAGCCTCATGATTATGAAACTTGACATCAAGAAATTGTATGGCAAGGGGTTAATGAGACCATGCACAGAAATTAACAAGTTAGCATTCATTGAATATTCTACAATTATTGACCCAGATTTGCCAAATCTTGGAACTTGGCAACTTCCACTCTACGAATCGTTGTATTCGGTTGTTTGTACGCTGTTTGGAATTCCACGTATTTACGAATACCGCGAGTCGTTCTATGCAATGACGCGAGAAGCTATTAAAAAACGAGTGGTGTAAAAATTATGTCAATGATACGCGTTGATAAGAAAGCGAGAGATCCAGGCTCGTGGTGAGAGATCACCCTGCGAGATGGCAGCACGCTTCGATTATCATTGTCCCGCGCTATTGTGTCACGTGATGGAGGTAATAGATCAATGACCTCAAATATAAACATTCCTTCGTTCGATAAAAATCAATACATCTATAACAATATTTCTATTAGAATTAGACTAGCTTATTTTCTATTAATTCTGACGACTGACAATACGATCCAATACTCTGGTTAAAGTTACTTCTTATATAGATTATTTTTTTGGTCGTTGGCAGAAGAGTATAGACATAATTATTAAATTGTTTTTGACGACTAGTGCCCACCGTGCGCCGCGACTCGATCGATTAATAATTTTAGAGAGGGTTAAGAAGATAAGACGCGGTAAGAAAGAACGGTTTATCGCGCGTTGATCGCGATCGATCGGTTCGCGCGAGCAACGAGCGCGTTATTTACAGCCACGTGTGCACCCGTAGTTTTTTGCCCGTACCTTGTACGGTCACGGCGATTTGTACGTATCCTTTCCTCGTTTTTAATAACAGACCGGCCGGGAGGAATCTGCCGGCGTAGAAACCTGTTACCGATCGATTGCGCAAGCGCTATCGGCATCGTTAGATCTAACGAAGCGCGATTGCGAAAAAAAAAAGAAAAAATATCCAAGCGGCGGGCACGCCGGGCTGCAAAGCAACGATATCCATGGGAAAATGGACGTAGCAGGGGGTGGACGAGGAACAAACGAGCGGCTACCCCGACCCGATGGATATCGTACGGATTCGCAATTGTGCAATTGTGCCACCGCGGAACGGGCACGCGGCCTTCGAGTCGAGAATAACTCGGCTCCGGAGTTATTTTCTGTAACCAATCCCGGCGTTGATATACGAGTGAAAAAAAGATTACGATCTTAGTGGATGCCTTCTGCTAGAACCGTCGCTATCCGTAAGTTTCGGTCGGTGGTCTGCAAGGAACATCGCAGCCGACAGCATCGACGTCCACCGTCCAACGCGCGAGCCAATAAAGATCGTACCTGAGCGGGAGAGATCCGTCTTATACGCGCGATACGAAATATCGACAAATTGTCTTTCTTAAAATCCCCAAATTTCCATCCAAATAATACGTAGAACTGGAATATTATTCATCGATACAAGACAAAAACGAATGTGATATTGGTTAGACAATGGTCCCCTTTCGCTTGGTCTGGAAATTAATATTTATCGCGTTCGACGAAACAGCCTTGACATTATGCAAGTCGCGTGATAAGCCACCCCATTATCGCAGAAATCCAAGAAAAACGCGAGCTCGTAACACGAACGTGCGAATTGCGAAATTTTCTCCGATCCCCCCCGCGTTTCGATCGAAATGTTTTTTTTTCTTTCGCGTCTAATATCTTCCACCTTTGTTATTCGAATGTCGCGGCGAGCTTCGGGCCTGTTTCTAGAATTTTTCTGAAAAAAATGCGACCAAGGCTGACGTATCGGGCAATCTCTCGAAGATAGAATTCGCTTCGCAATTACGCCGCGGATTCCTGGCGCAAACGACCGTCCCTACCGGCGTACCTAATAATCGCTAGGCTTTTACGAGCGAGACGCGCACTTTCATAGTTCACGCGACGGAAACCGAGAAAAAGATCGTTTTATCGTGCATGATATATCAATGTTTCCGCGCTTATCCCCGCAATTAACCCGACCTGTTGTTTCGTCGATTCCTCTGGCGTCCCGGACTGAGAACTTTACGCGCTTAATAAATTTAGCGTCGCCTATCCGATAAAAGGACGTCTTTACGACCGCCGGAGTATCGTAAATCGCGAATCTCCACCTAGTTGCCTGGACTTTCCATGATAATTACGTCCTTGGCTTCGTTTTTCGACGTTTCTCGTTACCAACTAACTCAAATCCTACGACTATGATTATTTTTTAAAAAATCCTCTTTGTGTTAAAGGAAATATTGATTTTGTAACAGTCTTTCGAGATTTTCCCTTCAAAGTTCCACCATTTTGTAATAAATAACACTGTCTCATACTTTAAGAAAATTGCACAATTTTCTAACAAATTTTTTGGAGGTCTCTCACGCTGGCTCCTATCATGGCTCTAATAATTAATATTTTTATACGAAATTTTGACAGAAAGTAGTCCAAGAAACATACTTTCGAATATATTAAACATTTATCAGAAAAGTTTCATAGCTACACTCGAAAAAATTCTCGAAAATTGCGTTTATTCTCACAGTGATTTCACAGTGGTTTCCCCCCTTAATTCGGTTCTTGACGGATAAAACTCGGTAGATACGCGATCTGAGAAAGGAATTCGATTCGAAGAAGGTTGCAAACCAGGCCGGAATAATGGAAATCTCCGCGGCGATGATAATCGAGCGGTTCGTTAGTTCGGTAACGCGAGAACAGATGAAAAAGGCCGCCCGGGTATGAGAAACAGTGGCGCGTTGTAGTAACCCAATTAGGGATGGCGGCAATTATGGCGTATCAGGTGTTACAGAAACGTCACGTTGCAACGTAACCGTTCCGGTCCCGGCCTTATCTGCCGTCAGAAGTTTGCTTTCTCGGTTCCTTTGTTGACCTCCGGTCGCTGAACCCTGATCGACTTTCGTTTCGCAACGTCGATAATTTCTCGTCTTAATCGAAGGGTGGCCGAAAAAGGAAGCGGCGCCGTTCCTGGGCTAAACTTGGATCGGGAACCGCGGACAAACGAAAGCTGCTTTTTCAAGAAATCGAAACGACGCGAATGGAATTTTAATTACACGATCGAACAAGCACTCGAGCTATTAATACATTACCCGGATTCCGTTAACGTCCATCGGTCGTGCAAAATTGATTTCGATGATGGACATTGGTAATAGGGTGATTAGCATCTTAAGATCGTTACGATCTTCGACGTACACATAGATTGTAATGTTTTGTAAGTGTCAACGCTTAGTACTGACGCAAATACTTTTTCTACCCGTTCAACGTTAAGTAACGATAACTCGTCGTCTCGTGAATCTCGTAAAAATTATCTGCTCGTCCGGAAAATAGATTTCAGTGGATTTTCCTAGAATAGTATTTCGCGACTGAGAATGAAAAACGGTACGCGGTTTTTCTTTGCTCGAAGGAACGAAACGATCGACGACAATGTAACGTGTGGGTAACGAACGTGACGAGCAGCAAGGTCGACGATGGCAGAAACAATCCTCGAACGCGATTGTTTTCTCACGACGTCGTAAAAACGGATAATCTATATTATTCACCTTCGCCTCCTGACACGCGGTATTTGCGTTTACTCTTGCTTAACGGCTCGCATTAGCGCGTGGAAACGAGAATCCTCTAACCGTGACACCGGTGTACAGGCGTCGCGGGAATTACGAGCTCGTAAAAGGATATCTCTGGCGCCGGTTTCGTCGTGTCGCGCTTCAAACGTCCGATTCGACGACTATAATCGCGTAACTTCCGGGTGCGGTCGTCGTTGGAATAATAGATAATAAACAAAACAGACGCGTAGTAATTTGTCCGCGACTCGAATATTAATCCGTTCGCCTTCGTATCTCGAGACTTCGGAGAAGCGGAAAAATCGAGCATCGATTTGCCAAAGTTAGAAAATTCTCAGTTCCGTCCGCGTGAAAGGAAAACATTTTATCGGGATAGATTTCTCTCGGTGAGTATTTTAAAGCGAGACATCAGGTGCGAAGGACGAGCTTGATCGAGTTAACCGCGATAATTAAGTAGCTTCGCCAGAGGCGATGGGTTCGTGGAACGGTACGTTTCTTTTATTCGTTTTTTTAATCCGCAAAGGTCTTCGCTGTCGGTGACCAGCAGGATTCAGGGTTGGCTAATCAAAGGACTGTTTCGATAAGTGGGACGCCTCGAAGTGACCCGCGGATCTGCTACGCAGGATGTAATTATCATATATTGCGAGATTCGAGAAAAAATCCCCGGCGAGATAGCGGCTGTTAATTCCTCCGACTCGTTGTCAAAATTGACAACTCCATTAATCAAACGCGCCACTACGCCGATAAATAGCTTTCTGATAACGCGCTCGTTGCATTTATTACGCCGTAATTGCCGCTTGATTTTAGGAAGATATTCCCGTACGATCGAATTTTAGAATTGAATCGGACATTCTCCAGATCCTTGTTAATTTATTTCTATTATGGAAGTTCACCAAAGCGATCCAACATTCTCCAGTTCTTTCACCCGCGTTCAGCGAATTCTTGACCGATTGCTATAATTAACGTTCAAAGTACGAGTAACAGTTAACTCTAATATATCACTCGAACATCTTCATTACGCGCGTTTAACGGTGTATAATCTCCTAGCGAACCTACTCTATGCAATCACGATCCTTTTTTTTTTTTACTCCCTCTCCGTTCTTTCGCCTCTTCAATGCCAGAGTGAAAGAAGCCCAAGAAAGGACACAGAACAGGTTCGGAGGCAGATGTAAATGGAA